TGTTTACTGGGCCTCTGCTGATCTTTCATTAACCCCCAGGGGAATGTGTCTGGAAAAGTTTTCGGGTTAAAAATACACCAATTCTACATAGATTGTTGGTAGAGCGGTCTGCACAAACCTTACCCTCAATGCCCATGAGTGGCCCAAGCGCCTTCTTGATACCAACAAGGGCAGCTTATAACATTTGCTCTTACATCATCGCTCATTTAAACTTTTTATGTAGAAAATTCCTCCAGAAAATTACCACGTACAACGTACTAACTTTACTTGATTATCGTTTCATACATCAAGTAATTACCTAAAAACAGGGGCCGCTTCTAGAGCAGCAGAAAAGCAATCAATCGCTTGAAGCTGTGCATTAGGCACTTTATATTTCCTAGTGAACAATGCGGGATCCATTTTTCCAGCAATAGTGGCAAGTCTGCAGTGAACAAATTAATTACTTAGTTTAAGTACCCCTACATAAGATCATAGAGAGTGTCAAATAATGTCCTTCTGACGATGAGTGCCACGCCTTGAGCTTAGGGCATAACCAAACGGCCCCTCCTTTCTATAACGTCGTTCACGACGACGACCTGGAAAAGAATGAGAGAACGCTTCCAGGCACAGAAACTATGGTCACACTGCTTTGCGCAGATATAAATTAACAAAACCTGGTAACCTTTTTCCAGTACTTAGTCCATAAGAAGAGTCAGGGCTGTACAAATGGACNGAACAAATTAATTACTTAGTTTAAGTACCCCTACATAAGATCATAGAGAGAGTCAAATAATGTCCTTCTAACGATGAGTGCCACGCTGTGAGCTTAGGAGATAACCAAACGGCCCCTCCTTTCTATAACGTCGTTCACGACAACGACCTGGAAAAGAATGAGAGAACGCTTCCAGATATAAATTAACAAAACCTGGTAACCTTTTTCCAGTACTTAGTCCATAAGAAGAGTCAGGGCTGTACAAATGGAGCCTATAGCAGTAATTCCACACTGTTTAGGATTTGTAGAGAAATTAGCATCGAGAAAAAGCTCAGATGACTGCTTATGGGTCAGTTTACTTTCTTTTCTATCAAGTACAGGGAACGGGATTTGCCTTAAGAACTCGCATAAGTCCCAGAGATACATGGGAGATTTCACATTTCCGCAGAACTTCCAACATAATTAGATTTAGAGAACACACAAACTTCCTAAACAGATCAAAGCTCTCCTGGGAGGTTTCCGGTGGAATGTTCTGCGGTTTTCTGCGATATAACTCTCAGTTTGTCCCTATAAATGCTCGTAGAGTCCTAAGAGAAGGATATTCCTCCTGAAAGACTGATCTTCGTCCTTTTAAGACGATCCTTGTTCAGAGAATNTTTGCCTTAAGAACTCGCATAAGTCACAGAGATACATGGGAGATTTCACAATTCCGCAGAACTTCCAACATAATTAGATTTAGAGAACACACAAACTTCCTAAACAGATGAAAGCTCTCCTGGGAGGTTTCCGGTGGAATGTTCTGCGGTTTCCTGCGATATAACTCTCAGTTTGTCCCTATAAATGCTCGTAGAGTCCTAAGAGAAGGATCTTCCTCCTGAAAGACTGATCTTCGTCCTTTTAAGACGATCCTTGTTCAGAGAAAATTTATTATAACTATGGTTCGAAAATAAGTGAGTATCAATAGCCGTTGAAGCGGAAATATGGTATATTAGAGAAGAAAAGGCCAGGATAAGGTCAAAGGACCTCATTTCTGACCGCAGTTAGAAACGTTGGGTCGTTGCCCCTGTAGCGAATACCTAATTTCTTACTTAGACTTAATTCTAGAAATAATAACTCACTTTTCATGTTCCAAGCACCATCTGACCGAATGTCGTGAGTTCGCGTCATTGCCAATTTTTACGCCGGCCTTTCGACACTTTTTCCCGAAGTACCACCTCCCGGAGCAGAAGTGTGTCTAGGTTTTTCCACCTCGTCGTCTATATCAGCCAGAACTCGCCAGTGCCGCTTATATTCCTTAAGTTAGGGAAAATAAATACTTCCACTTCATTTCATTTTGATTCATCAATATGTACCGTGGCGGAAAAGCAAATAGTGAAGAGAAATTATAACAAATTTGGTTCTTTCTCTTTTGTTTTTTTAATGTTTATATTCTTATATGGAGGTATAGCGCACTATCGAAAAAAAAATCGTAAGTCCGGATCTCGATTTTTGCGCAAAAATTGCGAAAATTTGACAGGGACCTAGAAAAAAGGTTATGCTCGGAGCTAAATTGTTGTTATCGTAGATTCTCAGGTAGAACGCTTAAAAACCCAAACCAGAATGAGAACAAAACTTTTGAGAGTGAGAATAAAACTTTAGAGAGCGTTCTCAACGGGAATTATATAAGAAAAAAAACCCTGTGGAACGTTCACAAAGATAACAACGAGCGTACATTTCCAAGGGAACAAAATGAGAACAATAGCCTTCGGAACGTTCTGCCAAAGTACAACACGAGAAAAAAAAAATTTATAGCGTTCCATTAGTTTAAAATATTTGCATACATACTAAAATTACTCAAAAAGAACTGAATGATAATTATACAAACTAAGTCGGGGAAAGTTTAAGACACAATTTTTTTTTGCACAGAAAATGAAAAATTGTTCCATAAATGAACAGTTCACCCTAATTATAAATGACGTGGAAGTTGAAATGATTCACCTTACCCCTGGCTTAGATTTAACAATCATCGTTCTCACTGAAACGATTTTTCATCCCAACATTCTTAACGGTAAGTTCTCAAAACTTCAGTTCTCATTTTTTTCTTTAGCATAACGTTCCGCAGACTTTCGTTCTCATTTTGTTCTTACTGGAAATTTTCCCGAAAGTTTGGTTCTTCAATAGAACGTTTTCGGAGAGTTGCTTTCCCATTTAGTTCTTTACGCTAACCTTCCTAAACCTTTTGTACTCATTTTGTTTCCGTCCACACTGTTCGCAATACTTTTTTCCCGTTTGGTTCTTTTGTGGAAATATCATTGACATTACATTTTGTCCTCGACCTATACCAAACCAGAACGCATTCTCAATCCCTGCAATTAGGAAAAGCTTCATCTAAATTTAAAACTTTTTAATCAGAATTTCCATAAAAAAAAAATTTGGGGGCAGTCAATCATCAACGGTAAGTTGAAGCTACTTCAAATTTGCACTTTGTTGCACTAAAATTTAGTGGGCTAAAAATCTGCGTACTAAAAGTTTTTCTAAAAATTTTGATTGAAAAGTGTGTAAAGCTTCGATGAAACCGAATTTTCTCAATTTTCGGACAAAGCTTAATATTTCCATGGTTTTTGCTAGATATTTAGTGTGCTATACTTTCGTAATAAAATATAATAAGCATTTGTTCGCTTGTCACCATATCGCCCTGATTTCAAGACGCGATTACTGCTCAGCCACGGNGAAATTTTCCCGAAAGTTTGGTTCTTCAATAGAACGTTTTCGGAGAGTTGTTTTCCCATTTAGTTCTTTACGCTAACCTTCCTAAACCTTTTGTACTCATTTTGTTTCCGTCCACACTGTTCGCAATACTTTTTTCCCGTTTAGTTCTTTTGTGGTAACGTTATTTACATTACATTTTGTTCTCGAGCAGAACTATACAAAACCGGAACGCATTCACAGTCCCTGCAATTAGAAAAAGTTTCATCTAAATTTAAAACTTTTTAATAAGAATTTCCATAAAAAAAAATTTGGGTGCAGGCCGTCGCCAAAAAATTTTCCAAATATCAACGGTAAGTTGAAGCTACTTCAAATTTGCACTTTGTTGCACTAAAATTTAGTGGGCTAAAAATCTGCGTACTAAAAGTTTTTCTATAAATTTTGATTGAAAAGTGTGTAAAGCTTCGATGAAACCGAATTTTCTCAATTTTCGGACAAAGCTTAATATTCGAACTAACATCGTTTTTGCTAGATATTTAGTGTGCTATACTTTCGTAATAAAATATAAAAAGCATTTGTTCCCTTGTCACCCCATATCGCCCTGATTTCAAGATGCGATTACTGCTCAGCAACGTTTAATGGATCAGGACTACACTAGCGCAAGGTTAATATAAAAGGTTTGCCGAATTTTATTTATGACTTACAACTCCACATACATATGTACCTAGAATAGAAAAAGTTTACAGATATTTCCCTTCTACCTTTTTTTTTAAAGTGGCTTCGTTTCACGCAATTTTATATTACGAGTATAAGGTCAGTACTTAGTTTCCCTAAGAACTTAAACATATTTATATACTTACATGCATTTACGAAGATTTTTTGATATGTACTGATGTGTGCCCNACATACATATGTACCTAGAATAGAAAAAGTTTACAGATATTTCCCTTCTAACTTTTTTTTAAAGTGGCTTCGTTTCACGCAATTTTATATTACGAGTATACGATCAGCGCTTAGTTTCCCTAAGAATTTAAACATATTTATATACTTACATGCATTTACGAAGATTTTTAGATATGTATTGATGTGTGCCGGTGCATATGTATGTAAGCGTGTATGTGTGTAGAAGAACGACAGTAGAACTCAAGCACCTTAAAGTAATTTCCAAGTAATGGCACTTTAGCTTCGCCGACATTGTGCTTGTAACAGACTGCACACATGTCTGGCTATAAAATACCAATTTTCTTCAGCAACCACCAATTCGAAGCTGAAAGCGAATGTGTGAGGTTGAATGTGTGGTTTATATAGAAAATAAAATTGCCAAAGGACATTCTGGTTTACTACACATATGTATGCATTAAAGGGCAATCTACATATGTATGTAGCCGTAGGTATAGCGTAGCATGTTCATATGTATTGGGATTGATGTATGCATAAATGATTTTAAAATGTTCTACAAGCACAAACACTTTAAATTCATCTTTAATTCAATTTAAGTTATAAATGTATGTATGTATGTATATAAAAGCATTATATACCTTTATGTATGTGCGATGAGTTTTTTGCATCTTGAGTACTTTTATACAAGTACTATATCTAAGCCTCCGTTTTTTGCCAATTACAGCCGAAAAGGATCCATATCCCATAGATGCATTGCCAACGTGCAATCACGCACTATCTGTGTGCCAGCAGGAGCGTAAATGCCTGAAGCTTTTCGAGGATTTCAAAGCGCATTGTAAAGTGAGAGACAATAAGTGCAAAATGGAAAACAGGTAATTGAATTAAAATCGAACGAATTACTGAAGAGTTATTTAGTATTAATTGTGAACGTTAAATAAAAGGAAGAAACAATTTTATTTTAATTTAAAGGAGATGACATGAGAAAGTAGTTAGTTAGTAAATTTTCCCTTAAGGTTGAAATCAAATTGTGCTTATATGCGTGTGTAGCTTTCAATTATTTCCCAGATACAAAAGATTTGGTTAATTTGGGTAGGTTAATAAATATCCCACTTAACCATTTGCTATCCCTACTGAAATCGAGGAGATCCAACAGTTCCACGTCCGCTATCTTTCCCAGACTGTTGAAGAAGCATGAACCCAGGTGCTTGAGGCGCTTCGAATGTAGGCCCGAACATTGGCACAGAAAGTGGTCAATTAATTATTTGTCATTCTCATCGCGGAAGCTTCTGGCTTCAAGCCCCTTGGGTCGCACTTTTCCCAAATTTCCGAGTAGCCTAATGGTCGTTAAGGAGCATTGTCTTATTAAAAGCCTTCCACTTCCATAGCCATAAGCAATTGGTCACGGTGTGAATGACTTTGTCCTCCAGGGTGCTTCACTCTATCCTTTTCCGTTTTTAGCAGACAAAAGCTTTCAAGAGCTTCTCTGCCAGGGAAATAGAAAACTCCGATTAGTTCATACAGCCAGTTCATGGAAAGCAATGAGTTCTCTTCGGGTGCATCGCTTTTCTGCTTTATAAAAAATTAATGTATTTTCATCTATTAAGTGTTTGTAGAGTAAAATACTGCTAAGCATCTGGACAGTGGACCAGCTATTGGGATAAACAACGAACCATTTGGTTGTAATATAACTTGCTCAGTTCAAGAATATACATTAGAAGAATGTACATTAGGGCGCATCACTCTACATAGAAAAAAAAGGTATTTCTTTAGAATTATGAAATGTATCATATTTTGGAACTTCCGCCAAAATACCTCAGAAAAAATATTAAGATTTACTTGGGGTGGAAGGTTTTGAAATCTCCTCCAAAATTGGGTTTTTTATCATGCAAAAAAACGAAGCCTTAAAATATCTACCGCATAACTATAAGCAAAATGTATACACACTTTTTTATAGGGGACTTTTAATATTAAAATATCTTTGCGAAAGTGTTAAAAATTAATACAATTTATTATTTCGGTGGAAAACGTGCAACTTTTTTGGTGGTGACGTGCCTTAATGTGCCTACATATTTATGCCTTGTATAAGTGACCAAAAATAGTTGTGGATTATGCTAATTAACACTAATTATTAAACAAACCTTCTTTGTATTCGTATTTTCCTTGCCACCTTGCATTTACCTACGAAATTAACTCATCGAAAGAAATGTCCCGCTTCAACTTTTATGCCACTGCTAGCCAGATAACAATTGTCAACTCATACAAAGTGTTCATTGTATTTTGCCAGCAGTGGTAACTTAATTAAGTCTATTGCCATTCTATGTCAACCAGCCGCAGTTAATTAGCTTTCTGTACTACTGATTTTCCTGCTTTTCTTTTGCCGCATTCACCACTAGATACGTATTCCCAACGCAACAGGTCGCTGCACCAGCCAACAACTATTAAAATCAATTATTATCATCGATAATGAATTTTACATAATTAATAGTCAAAGTGGCAGCATTATGTAGCAGGCGTAGCAGCTGTGGGGGAGCCACTGGAATTCTGGTTAACACGCCAGTGCTAGTGGAACTTCTAGCAACCACAAGAGTGGGTTGTAACCACAATAGCTATATTTCATATTCAATACTGCTCTTTCGTCCCACTTATGGCAGCACACCAGCGCTAACGGGATCTGAGCAGAATGAAAATAAACTTTTCCATTTCATAACTCTAAGTTCACTTGCACTTTGTGCGAAAGATGCCATACATACTACATACATATATATGTATATAAGGTCAGAACATTTGCATAACTATGTTACCCTTTCGGTAGGGATTTTCATACAATGCAGGTAGGTAAGCTTACGAGTATTGTTAGAGGCCAGCAAAGGTAACTGAAAAACTTACTGAATATGGGCAATTCTCAATTAGTTCGAACTGGTTTATTAACAAACATCAGAACGTTAGAAGTATGTGCTTGCAATAGAAAAGAATTTAGGAAGAGTCAAAGTGGCGTGACTCCGTTTTGAAGTGAAACTTCTTTAGCGGCGGTTGGTTGGTTGGGAGTAAATTGGCAAATTCAGCGGAAATTGCACACGGAAATGGTGCAACGGAAATGGTGTAACGGAAGTCGTGCAACGGAAATAGATGGGCCTGAAACAAGTGCTTCTTGTGTGTATGCACATGTTATTAATTTAACACAAACTTGCTAATAAAAGGTTAAAGATTAACCCTTAGAAACTGGCCAACACAAGAATGAAAGTAAATGTTAGTACGTACATAGATAAAGAAAAGGATAAAGGCAAAGGTAAAAATAAAAACAAAAACAAAGATGCGTAAAGATAAAGGCAAAAATTAAGATCAAGGTAAATTAAAACATTTTACTTATATATGTACATAAGGGAAAAGGCGAAGGAAAATATCGTCGCCTGGGTAAAAGATTGTCGCAAGCGCAATTTTGACGATTTTTAGTTCTAGGTGCGTTTATATTTTGAAATAAAGTCTTTCGTTTGGTGTCATCAGTTTTTAGATATCTGCTTTAGTTTCCGAGATATTGACTACAATTTTTTCGATAATTCAGTAAAAATTTAGTTAGCGATGCAGTCATATTAAACTAGTTAATATCTTAAAATTGGCGGTCTCAATTTTTTCATATCTTTTTTTGTTTCCGAGTTATTGAGTATAAAATGTCGTTAATTTAATAGAAATTTTCATCACATTTTGTCGTACTTCATACAAAGTGGCTGCCACATTGTGGACAAATGACCCTCACGACAAAATTTTACCAAAGAAAATCCTTTATAAACTAAAAACTATTTAACAATAAATATTAAAAATTAAATAACTTAAGAATTTGGCGAACTAGTAACATTTTCAGAGACTTTGGAGAAAATCTATCTTCGCATTTTTGAGAAATTGCATTCCAAACTTCAATCGCGATTTCCCGAAACCTACCGAAATTAACACAGGACAATCTTTTACCCAGGCGACGATATGTAGATGAAGAAAATGATAAACATAAAAGTAAAAACAAAGACAAATATAAAGAAAAAGATTAGGATGATACCGATAAAAGTAGAGATGAAGATAGATATTTTTAACGACTTTGTTATCGATATTTTTTATCGATTTGTTATTGGTTTTGTTATCGAAGTTGTCATAGATTTTGTTATCGATATTTTATCGAGTTTTTATCGATTTTGTTATCGATTATTTATCGATTTTGTTTTCGATTATTTATTGATTTTGTTATCGATTGTTTTATAGATATTTTTATCGATTTTGTTATCGATTTTTTTATCGATTTTGTTATCAATATGTTTATCGATTTTGCTACCAATATTATTATCGATTTTGCTATCGAAACTTTTATCGGTTTTGTTGTCGATATTTTGTTGGGTTTACTATCGATTTTGTTATCGGTAGAGTATAAAGATAAAAATGAAGATAAAGGAAAACAGAATAACATAAATTTAATTAGAAGGAACAGGATAGAGGTAGGGATCTAAATAGAGAAAATACAAAAAGTAAAAGCAGATGTACATATGTATGTATTTTGGTTATGCGACAAAATAGATATGTAACGTAAGTTTCAATTCTCCAGTGTGGCCCAGGCGCACTTACTTTTTTTTTTAATTCTGACACTAGCGGTTTTTATAGTATACTGTAGCTGGTGTATACCAGTGTACTGAACAAGCCGATTCATTTACGTTTTCAAGGTACTAGAAAAAAATACAAGCGCAAGTATGATTCACACAAGCCAATTCAACACATAGCTTGAACGCAAATGAATACGGAAGTAGCTTGAATCGAACAAGTGTGAACACAACAGCAGCAATTGTAAATACATAAATGTATACGTACATATTGCAAACCATCAATCAGCTTGTTGCAACCATTCATTGTATTTGTATCTCGGTAACCGATTTACCAATTTGTACCAAACTCAGTACAATCATTGACCTTGGAATAAAACCGCTATATTTTGAAAATTTTCGAAATCGGACTAAAATTACGCCCGCTTTTGATATAAAAAAAACGTTGCTTTAAAATTTCGCACCACGTTGGACGTTGTATTCAAGCAGCTAAAGGAACGTATACTAAAAATTTCAGACATGTGCTCATGATGTAAAAAACAAATTAATTTTTTTAACAAACAAAAATTCCAAGTTTGTGAGAATTGCCCATATGCATATATGTATGTACGTAAATACATACAGTTAAAAAAATAAGAAATAGATACTCGTAAGAGCACATGTATGTACATTATTTGTGTGCTTTTCCTAACTTGCACCAGACTTGCCTCAAGCACAAGTTCTTGTATACATTTCTAATTGAAATTTGATTGGGAAGAGAGCCGGCAAACGACAAACCGCAACCTCTTGGCGATTTCGTCGCATTGTGTGCAAAAAGTAGTTGAAAAGGCAAAAGAAAAAATGCAAAACACATTTGGCTACGACAGTATGTAATGGCTATGAATAGAGAATGTTGTTTGTAGGGGTAATTGAAGCAGCGGGTGAGACTCACAATACAGTTAAGCGTAAGTCGTTATGAAAGTTTTAATGCGGCTGGCTACGAGCGACTCTCTTTCGCTTTATTGTAGTAACTTGAGCTGAAGTGCATTAAATTTGAATAGTTGGACAAATTGGTGCTATGAAAATGTTTACCACTACATAGTGGATGTGTATGTGCATTAGATGGGGTCGCAAACGCTTTTAACTAACATACCTCCCCACAAATTGTTTTTCAAAATTTACTTGGCAAGGACGTTGGTGCAATGGAAATTTTCATCCTTGATATGCCCTGAAAACAAAACAGAATCGAATTTTATTCACAAATTTTTTATTTGTAATCAGATTTAAATGAGTGGCACATATATCGGAAATATATCTATATTTAAGTACTATGTACCTATTCAAAATAATATTGACACACACTTTTTTTCTTTGAGCTGTAAACTCCATTAACTCATTTTCTATCTGCCTTAAATAGATGTAATGTGTTACTTTCAAAAATACATTTAAAATTATGTACATAAAACGCCTTAAACTCGAAGCATAAATAAAAAAATTATGAAGAAAAGTCGATTTTGAATATTTTTAGGCAAAGTTGTTAAAGTGCTAATCTGATTAACGATTAAAATGTCATTCACAACTAAAGATTCAAATTAATTAATCATAATCATCTGCGTGACTAACGATTAAATTTTTTCAATCGGTAATCGTCGGTTATGATTACGATTAATTAATTTTAATCATCAATCGTTAATCCGATTAAAAAGAATCTGATTAAGTGGTCTAGTTTGTACTCATTTTAAATCAAATACCATTTACGGTTATGCTTTTGTGTTTAACGCTTATAAAAAACATACGCTTATATAAACTACCAATAATAATAAAAATAAAAATATATATAACATAAACTGGGAAGTTTTACAACCCATCGCAAATGTGCAGAGAGATATTAAAACCTAGTTTGCATAAGGTCTGTTGGTAATAGGTCACAAACAAAATGTACACCACTTAGATTGATGAAGGAAACCGACTTAGCCATACCCGATTAACTGAGCTTGTGTGTAAAAGACAATTCCAGCTTAAATTAATTAATCACCAAATCTACTTAATCAAATCAAGGGTAAATTATTAAAAATTAATTTTTCTTTAATTACGGTTACGTTTAACTGTTTAATCAGATTAAATTAAGTCAAGATTAACTGTAATTCGATTGAGTTTAATCAAATTAACTAATTGATTAAAAAATCAACCGATTAGTGCCATCACTGCTTTTAGGACGTCTCAAATGCAGCCACTTTTATGGCGCTTCCCAAAAAGGTTTTTTGTTTTGTATGCCTACCGAACACGGCTAATGTACAAGTAAATGTGTATTCTTTATAAGTGCTTATGTTAAATAAAGCGTAGTTCTACATGGCCTATAGAGTGCCAAAAGGATTTTAATCTAAAAACTTATGTCAATTAAAACGTAAGAACAACACATGTACAAAAAAAGAGTTCAATAACTGACAAAAGTTAATTGATTAATTACAGCTTCTACGTTAAAGTGTTTTTATCTTAATTTTTTTTCATAAGTTTCAACCATATTGTAGAATTGTAAGACTACTCGATTTTGGGCTTTTACTGCAATACAACCGTAGGTAATTTCTGAAAATGAGCCTAATAAGCCCAAAAACGGGGCTTTTTAAAAAGTTTCGACTCTAGCGCCACCTATCTGGTACAATTGCAACCCATATGCATTCAAGTGATACCGAAAATGCAAAAAATAGTCAAAATATTTAAGGACGGGGCAGTAAGAATCGCGTGAGATTACATTGTCTTAGTTTTCATCCAACTTTCCTTGAGTTGACTTGTCGCTTATCTATTCAAGGATGAACCAAAGGTAGCCAGTGATATTGTCATCCGCTGATATCATTTTTCGCTAACTCGACACCCTTGCATCTTCTTACGATGTCAGTGCGAGCGAATACCATACAAGTAAGTTAATTTAGGAAATAATATGACACAATCGAAAGGGAATTCAAAGAACCTCGGCTAATCCATTAAAAAGCGCACTAAAAATATGCGTTTGATATCGATTTAGCCTAAGACCTCATCGTTAGCATATCTTTCAGTTGGTCTTTCTAAAGACGGAAAAGAGCTATTAAGATATGTAGTTGCCACAATTGACAATTGTCTTCCGACATGGGAATTGGGAGTTAAAACCATTTGCCAGAATTACCCTGCTCTATACTACTCTATATTATCGTCCGAACACAATTTAGTTGAGCTCCTGTAATGCCAAAGTCACTTGGTTGGGAAAATTTTTGGCAACCTTGCTATTAAGACGAGTGCCACAACTCGTGAGCCGAAAAGTCAAGTTTTGCCTTTCTTACGATTGACTGACTTCACAGCATTTAAAATGGAGAGACCACCATGCATAATAAAATGAATAAAGTTCTTTAAACAGTTGGCAACCCTCCTCAAAAATATTTTCGGCAGTAAATTTTCCTAAGCCTCTTCAGTTTGATATGTATACTACAATAAAAAATGTATCTTATCAATTAAATGAAATTAAAATTTTGAAACATTTGGAAACCTTCTACAAAAATATTTTCGGCTTTAGGTTTGCTTAAACCCCTTTTTCCTTAACAGCAATATTGAAACAATTGCTTTATTTTATCAATTTATTTCGACTGCGATTTTCAAACAGGTGGCAACTCTTAATTTTTTCTTTCTTTATTTTAAGTAAGACCCCTTGAAATACGTCGGTGAAAACTGCATTCAATTCCATTTTTATTATTATTATTCGAGTGATACGCGTACAATCTTGAGTTGGCTTCGGTTGCTCTAAAAGTTTATTTTCATACAAATAGATGAGCCGAAAATAATGTTACTCATACGCCATGTCTCGCCGAATATAGTCCAATTAATAAGAAAATAAATAACAATTGATTGCCCAAAAGTGATTGGTCGTAGCGTAATAATATTTAATGCAGTTATTTCTCTACAAAATAATATTTCTACAATCTGATACGATGTACAAGAAATTAACTGTTATACATATTTATGGGCACATCCATAATTTCGTACTCCAACTGAAAGAAATACTTAGCTCCAGTTTTTCAGTTCCAGTTCAAACTTAGATTACGTAATCTTATCTTGAACAGCTGGCTGACACAATATTGGCCAATATTAGTTTAAATCAGCCTACTTAGGCGTTTAAACTAAGTTTAAACCACAGCCGTGCACTGAAAAACTGGCCCTTACATTTATATAGCTTCACAAACGCAATTTGAGTGAAAAATTATTATTTTTTTTAGTTTAATGCGACAATGAAAACTGAGAAATTTGCTAATGAAAGCGGCAGTTAAAAAAAGGTAATGATTAACGACACAAATTCATAAACAGTAAGTTTTTTTTGTTTTTTGAAATTAAATCGTTAGGAAATCTCAAACTCCTTGAGCTGTGAATTTTTAAGTAGCTCCAAAAACCCAGGACGCAAAGAATTATCTTAATAGGCCCCATAAAGCTGCTTTGTAAAAAAAAAACGATTTTAGTAACTTTGTCGCGCAGAAAATGACCAATTTTTGTATGTTCTATATAGAATGACCATAAGTTTGCATGTATGTTTAATCTTTACTAAACTTATTTTTATACATAAATTTCAAACTATAAATTTTGCTAATTCATTTTGAATTTGTTTTTCTTCCTTTCACCACAGAGATGCGTGTCACGACTCGTGGACGAATTTACGCCTCTCGCCCATGTTCGGCTGCATATGTCCGAATAATCATATGAAAAAACGCTGTGATCGTATATTTAATATTGTTAATCACAATCCATGTGTGGGTAAGTTATGAAAAAATCTAAAAAAAAAAAAATTTACTTAAAAAATGCTATGCAAAGCCAGAAGAAAACACTTAAATAGCAGCAATAAAATAAAAAGTTATCAACTGCAATGCAACAAGTATTTACATCATCAACACAGCGTAAATTGTGCAAGAGTAATATAAATAAGTATTTTGCTGAAAATGCATTTCGCATAAGTAAAATATGTAGTAAAAGTAAAGGAACTAATTTAATTTCTGCACCACTATCAGCAAGCGACCGAAACTGCAAGAACAATGAAAAATTCGCAACAAATGAAAATAAGGACGAATTGAAAATCCAAAAAAAAAAAATATATATATATATATATCTGAAATTTTAAGCAAAAAATTGACTCTTCAAAAGAAAATTTATTTTGTATATTTTCTCGATTTTATTTTCTCTTTCGTTGTTTCGCTTTGTTTTCGTAAATTTCAGTTATTCATTTTTGTTTTTATGTATGTAACTCAAACCACTCTTAACTACCTAATTCTTTCTTTGGTTTACTTGTTTTCCTTACTTCCGTTAACTCTCGGTTTGTTCCTTTACTTTGTTGTATTTCTAACTCATTGAAATTTTCCATTCAATCGCTTCCAAGAAATATATTTTTTTTAAAGTAAACAACCAACAATCGCACGCTTTATGCATCAAATCAAACTATGCCACTCAATTTAAGTACCTACTTATTAAATAACAACCTGCTACTTAATACTCTCTGTAGCCAACAAACAAACGAAAAGTGACAAATAAGTAAAAACATTAAGCAAACAATTGAAATCTGACAATATTGTTAACTCTTACTTTCACCTCAACTCACATACACACACACACACACACATACGCATTCGCAATCACTACCGCCAAGACACTCACCGCCTCAAGACGCCGACCACCACCAGCATCGCCAAACATTTACCAGCCAGTCGCACACACTGATGACACTCAGCCACATCCACAGCCGCCACCAACAGCCAGCCAATAATAGTTGTGCTTAAAGTAAGCTTCTGTTCTGACAGCGTTTTGCACTTTACTCACTCAATCAACAACAATTTCCTACACCGCTACGTCAAGTGCTTACTTTGTGAAATTCTCGCTCGCTATCCGTCTCCCTTCCTAGCCCTTGCGCTTACATATGCTTTCTTACTGTGTTCTACATAATGCTTTCCAAGTGCATATATACATACATACAAATCCTTAGTCCTTTCTATACGCTCTTTGTTTGCATTTCTTCATTCTGCATTAAAATTTACACTTTACACGCACCTCTTCTACTGCTTCTGTATTCTCTTTGCAATGTATATACACAAGTCTACCCCGCTCGCTCGCTCGTTTGCCTGCTTTTACTTAGCTATATTTACTAAATTCTAAATATATATAGGTGTGTATGTATGTTTGATTGCTTGCTTGTGTAACTTCCTGCTGTAGCAATTTGCTAAAAAGCAATTGCATCTGTACTTGCATCTACATAAACTATATACTTATGTATATATACCTGCACTTACCGTCGTCGGCAATTGCTGTCGTTGTCGCTGTCACAGCCACTGTCACTGTTGGAGTTCCTGTCGCTGTGACATTTGCTGTCATCAGCGCTGTTGAAATCATTGCGTCATGTGCCTTTCTAAAAGCTTCAACCGGTTAGCTCACCTTACTTATGTAGCTTGAAAGTCGAAAGCAACACCTTTGGTTGTATAGTATACTAGCAATTACCCGGCGTGCTTCGCTGCGCCTTAAATGTA